GGCTGTCTTGTGTTGTGGGGATCGAACCAAAGCAACTGGAGCCTGACTGCTTTGTTGAAGCAGCCACTTAAAGAACTGAGCTACGGGGCAGGCCCCCCAGGCAGGCATTTTTAATTCTGTAACTTTTTTTTCTGCTTATAAATTAAGATGCTAGTTTATTGATTCACAAAGGAAAATCTAACTTGGACTACTTAAAGCATTAAATTAAGCTTTATAATTTATTATATTATTGTCATTTAATTATTTTAATTATAGTTCTAAGTATAAGCATAATAAGGGAATAGTTTAATTAGGATATAGAATTCAGCATTATAATATTAAAATATAAATATAAGAACAAAACAAATAGTAAAATAACTGATCATATCTAGATGATGGGATATTCTTTTCTTTTGTATATTCTCTGCTTTTCAATGTTTTAATCATGGAAAAAAAGAGATTTCACAGGTAAGTTTTATACCCCTGGTTATTTGTAAGCCCTATATTCAAACAATGGCTGAGAAACCTGATCTTAGACAGTTCTGCAAAGACCAAAGGGAAGGCACACTCAGGATTAACAATATCAAAACCAGGTCCTGGGGACATCCTTTAAATCAGTGATCTTGTCTTAGGTTTCACCTTCTTTGACCTATTTGTAGTGTTTGATGCTGTTGACCACCTGCACCTTCTTAAATTTTTCTCTTTTGGGTTGCATTACTGTATGGTGCTAGGTGTGTTTTCTTCTACCTCTTTGGTTGTTCATGCTGTTTGCTTCTCTAGCTTCTTCATACCCACTAAAGACGGGTACTTCTCCGGCGTTCTTCTGTCCTCTCCATGACTTCCTTCAGTTGCCTCATCAACTTTCTCAGATTTAACTATCTTTGTTTATTCATTAATCATTCATTCTTTGAGCATTTCTTGATTGCTTCCTGTGTATCATGTACTGTGCTAGCTTTATAATGTACATTACAGAGAATCAGGTAAACAGACAATTGCAGAACAATGAGTATAATTCTTGGTGATAAATGCCCTGGTGAGGTAATGTGGCATGGAAGCACACAGAATAGGTTTCTGGTTCAGCTTTCAGGGATAAGCAAGAAAAGTGACTCTCAGGGTGACTTTTCAAAAGTAACATGTCTCAGGGCTGAGTGATTGTTAGCAGGGGAAAGCTGGAGCCTCTGGAGCCAAGGGGACCAAGTAGCTCTAGTAATGGCTGGTAGGGGGCTGGTGAGATAGCTCAGTGGACTAAGCATCAGCTTAGGAAAGTGCAGGCATCTGGGCTCAATCTGTGGTGCCAACCACTGAGACCAGGTGGTGGCGCATCCCTATAATCCCAGAGCTGGGGAGGCTGAAGACAGGAGGATCACTATGAGTCCGAGCTACATAGTGAAAGCTTGTACAAAAGTACAGAGAGAGGGAGGGAAGGAAGGACAGAGAAAGACAGACAGACAGACAGACAGACAGACAGACGGGTAGGCAGAATTGGGTGTGGTGCTTATGGAGAACCTGAAGTTCAGCACTGGGACAGAGGTGGCTGGAAGCTGTTGAGTATGAAATGAAGTGTACATCTCCAGGGGAGTTTTCAGGACACATTTTTTGGTTTTTTAGCCAGCGAAGAGATTTAATTGAAAGAACATGCAAGAATATTACAGTTATCAAGGTGAGAAATGATGGAGCCTACAATTAAGATAGTTGTAGGAATGGAGAGTAGGGAGTCACATTGAAGTATGAGGATATTCAATCAGATGGCACTTGACTAGGAGGAGGGAAGGATAAGAAATGGCTTCTAGTTTTCTGTATAGACCACAGTGCTCTTTACCAAGTGTTGCGTAGGTGGGCAGAAGAGCAGTTTGTAGGAAATAGATGATAAATGCAGTTTGATCTCTGCAAATCATTGCTAACTTATCTTTTAATGCTTAGTCTAAAAGTTATTTCTGAAAAACTTCTTTGACAGGCTTGTTTACTTTTTGATTCTTTAATATCCAGTCTAGCAGTTGTTTCCTAGGATGCTTTTAGATGGCCTGTCCCCTGTGTTTTGACGTTATCCTCAGTGCACCTACCTGTACCAGCACTTAGAGCACAGAATTACAGGTGTTCTTTATTTTTCTGTGCCTCCTATGAGATTGTAAGCTCTGTACGGGCAGGGACAGTGGCTATAGTGCCTCTTATTACCTTATCTCTAGCTTGTAGTACAGTGCTTATAGTATATCATAAGTGTTTGAGTTGAATTGAGTTATTAAGAAAGCCTCTGTCAGGAAATAGGATGGGTCTCAATTTTTATTTTTATTTTTTATTTTTTGGTACTGGGGATTGAACTCAGGACCTTGCACTAGCCAGGCAGGCACTTAAGCCACTGAGCTATCTCCCCAACCCAAGTCTCAAATTTTAGATGTGCTTAGCTTCTTTTTGGTGGTGGTGTTAGTGAACTAATGAATTGTTAAGAAGGTGAAAATGCTATTGTTGAATTTTTCTTTTTAACTTTTGAAATAGCTACTTCTAAGTCTCATTTTGGGAATCCTTGATATTATCTCTGTTAATGACTGAAGACAGGGCCTTCTTCTGTCAGTAGATCCTTTGACAGGTCCTACATCTTTTTTTTCCAAAACTGGGGATTGAACTCAGGCCCTTGTGTGTGCTTGCCAGGCAAGCGCTTATTCTACTGAGCCATCTCCCCAGTCCCCCTACATCTTTTCCATTGGCATTTTAGTGCTTGCTTCAGCAGTACATATACTAAAATCAAGTGGCATTTCGATTGATTGAAACTATAGTGTAGTGAAAACAATTCTGGCGCAATGAAAAATATTTCCATTTTCTCTACTCAGATATCACTGAAAATGATAAAATAGATACAAGACAACAAATAAGTCATAACTGT